TCCTTTGTAATAAATAATACTGATTAAATAGCAAATACAATTTTTATATTTAATCAATGTTTGCTACTTGCACCTTGCCAGTTAAATCCATTAAATATGGGTAAAATAAGTAAAGTGTGGCAACATTTTGTCAGAGTCAGTAAGCTCACAGCCAAATGTAAAGCGTGTGGTAAAATTTGCTCAACTTCTGGGAACACATCCAATCTGCATGCACATTTAAAATACATCCACAGTTTTAGTTTTGGCACTCAGCAAGGAGTTAAAGATAATAGTGCACCAGTTCCTGTAAGTAAAGCTGATTTAAATATTATATTATAATGATTAGGTATTATTATTATACTAAAAGTATACAGTTTTAAAATTTATTTAAATACATGACAGCCATACAACATTACAACATGCAGGTAATAATCACAATTCCTTTTTTTAGAATTCAAATATAGTAAGTTTAAGAACAGATACAATTAGTGGTATAAGTGATACTGAAATTGAAGATTCTGTCGATTCTGATACTAATTCATATGAACATCCTGTTCCAATTAAAAGACGTTATCAACCTACGATCCAGCATCATTTTCAATATATGTCATCAATGGGAGGTAACTTTGATTTAGAGCTTACATTATAATATGATAGTAGATAAATTATCCAAGTTTAATTATTTTGTGTTAATAGCTGAAGGAAACAAAAGTTCTGAAATAACAGAAGCATTACTGTATTTCATATGCAAAGACAGTGCACCATTTTCTACTGTTGACGGAAGTGGTTTTAGATATTTTATGAAAGTAGCTTGTCCATTATATAAAATACCTGCCAGAAACACTGTGAAGAATAAATTAGATGACAAATATAACTACTTAAGTGGAAAGTTTAAAAATATGCTAAAAGATAAAAACAATTTTACTCTTACATCAGATATCTGGACTGACATAAAAATGAAAAGTTACATCGGTATTACTATACATTTTTTACAAGGCACAAAATTTATATCTGGTAAAATTTTATATAAATTAAAAAATGTATCCAATTACCTATTTTTAAAAAATATTTATTGCATTTAGGTACGTTAGGTGTATATGAACTCGACCAAGCTCATACAGCAATAAATATCAGTCAGTCATTTGAAAATATTTTAATAGAATGGGAAATAACTAAGGATCAGATAATTGCAATAGTTACTGATAATGGTATGATAAGTTTGACTTAATTTAATTTATTTTTTTACATAAACTTATGATATTATGTGTTGTAACTTGTAGGGGCCAACATTAAAAAAGCAGCGTCTGATACTTTTACTAGCGACAAATTGATACCATGTTTTGCCCATACCATCAACCTGATTGCTAATAGTTCTATTGAAAAATGTCCAGATTTAGGCCAATTAATTGAAAAAGTAAGGAGTATTGTTAAGTTTATCAAAAACAGTGTAAACATAAATGATGAGTTACGAAAATATCAAAAAAATGATGGTTAGTGTCTAATTTATATAATAATAATATATTACCTTTACTATGGAAATAAGGTTGGTAACAATAAATTGTTTAATAATTTTTAGGTATACCAGATGGTAAAATCTTAAAACTTATATTGGACGTCAAAACCCGGTGGAACACCATTTATTATATGTTGGAAAGGTTTATAGAACTATTTAGAATAGTGTCTTCTATCCTATTAGAAAAATCAAATGCACCAGATTTTATAACCACCAGAGAACTAAATATATTAAAAGAAATTAAAAACTTACTACATCCATTGGAAGATTTAACAAAAAAAATTTCAGGAGAGAAATTTGTTATAATAAGCACAATTTTACCACTTATCAATTGTGTACATAATGCAGTTAATCGTGTTCAGCCAACGACGACTATTGGTACTGAGCTTCAAAAACTCATTCAAGCTGAGCTGAAACTGCGTTTTACAAACCTGGAATTATTTAATGATTTTCCTTTAGCTACATTATTAGATCCAAGGTAAATACATTAAATAATAATTGTATTAAAATAAAGTTGGTAAAATATATAATATTTTTTTTTAGGTTTAAAAACCTACACTTTAAAGATCCAGTAAAGTGTCAAAAAGCTATACAAAGGATCAAAAGTATTTTAGTTGAAAAAGAAAATGAAAACATTCAATCTAATGAAATTACTGATGTAATAAGTAGAGATGATCAGACACCATCAGAAACATTTGATTTATGGTCCTTTCACACTTCAGTGGCAACAGCACAAGTAGTAAATAGAACAGCTCCTATTTACCAAGAGGTAAAGCTTCATGTTATTCAATAATATTATGTTTTTATATAAAATTCTTACTTTTGGTTTGTTTAGCTGTATGATTATTTGGCAAAGCCAGTTGTTGAGATAACTGCAGAGCCATTAAATGTTTGGGAAATTATGAAAACGATGTATCCCAATCTATATGAAATTGCTCGACAGAAACTGAGTATTGTTGCCAAATCAGTGACTTCTGAGAGGCTTTTTTCTAAAACAGGGAATATTATTTCAAAAAAACGAAATAGATTAACTGGAAAAAGGCTTTCGAAATTAGTATTTATGAGCTCTTTAAGCGAGGAAGACTGGTTCCAAACTGATTAATAGTGAATATTTTGTTGCTATAAATGATCAGTTTTTGGTTCTTTGATTTATATAATTTAGTATTTACTATATACATACTTCAGTTTTAGACTTATTGTAAAGTTAAGTTGACTGTTTGTTCTGAAATCATAACAGTGATTATGAACACTATTATTATGAAAACTATTTTACATTATATAATTTATAAGTTATGACAATGCTATGTTTATTGTGTTCTACAAAAATCTTATACTTTTATTTAGTGTTTTTAAACAAAATAAATACTGGTAAGCACTAAGCAGCTGAAAAAAATGTTTGGTATTTACTAATTTATAATTTTTATTACAACTCATACAGTCTGAGTAGTCTGACAAAATATTATTATTATTATCATTTTTTAAATATCGATACTTTT